CATTTTACTACAACACACTGGTGTCGTGTCCTTTGAATCTAGCAATAGCTCCTTTGATGCCTTACCTGCAGGATCCAGACTGGAATTTACATATGATACTCTGTGTGTGTGTGTGTGTGTGTGTGTGTGTGTGTGTCTGTGTGTGTGCGTGTGCGCGCAGCATCACGGTGACTCTGCAGTGCTCGCTGCCACGTCCTGCCTTCTCCCAGATGCCACCACTGCGGGCGCACATAGCCCATAAGCTCCTGGCTATTTTTGTTGCCCAGGGGATAGCTGTCAGTTTCATTTGGCCGCCTTGCTGCCCAAATCGGCTGCTTGTAAGAGTGTGAACCATGGCTGTCCGATGACCGGTCATGGCCAAGTAATCTTCTGTCCTGAGCGTTATGGATCTGGAAGCTGGAGAGGCAGGTCCAAGCTGCCCGGCCCTTCGTCTTCTCAGTATCGCTCTGTCGCTCTAAGAAAGCCGAGAATAGCGGCCCCCTATTTTAAGCCTCTGCGGAGCTGCATGTGGTTTGTTTCCCCAGCCCCCTCCCCCCTATCAGTAAAGATGGGACAGCCAAACTGAAGAGAGCGATCTAAGGGTGTCTTCGTCGGACCAGTCCACAGAACTGCGGCCGAGAGCGTGGCCGTTTGTCTCCAGGAGATAGATGACTAGGATTGACGCTGATTCTGTGCCGTCCCGAGGAGTCTTTCCGGAGGGAGGGAACACATCCCGTTTAAAACGACAAACTTACAGCCGGTGTGCCCATCTCAGTTTGTCTGACTGCTTGGCTGAAAAGTGCATTTGCCTAAATATACTCTCTGTGCCCACTAAAAATAACGGGTTATAAAGCTGATGTCATGGTCGGTATTATTAATTGTCTCTTTCTTTGTGTGTGCTTATTATTTCTGCAGGTCTCTCTCCCTCCAGTTGAGAGTGAATGTTATTCTTCATTGGGCCACGGGTCGATTGCTGATCACATGGCTTTGGCTGGATGTTCAGATTATTTTCTTCACCGCCCAAATTACCAGGTAGGATCATTGGGGGCCCCTCGCTTCGTTGTTCAACAATCTGGGCTGTAGGGGGCGCTCATGTGACCTTGGGGTAGGGCAGCTTGCGGTGCCATTTCTCTATTCGAAGCCTTGCTGTGTTTTTTTTTTTTTTGGTGTTTTACTGGTGAAGATCTTTGCTGTGACTGGGCTCCCAGTTTCGAACTGGACATAGCACCCTGCAGGTTAAAGCTCCCCATCTGCCCCCAGGTGTGGGGCGGGACATAACCTGCAGCTCTGGAGGTGTGAGGTGATTGCTCCGCCCCTGGGTGTGTCTACTGAGACAGGGAGGGTTTTGATTGGTTCAGCTCCTGATTTATTTTCTTAAAGCCCACAAACGCTGAGACCCAGTGCCTCCAGAATCAGCACTCCAGTCATGGGTCCTGTGGTTAATTTAATGAAAGGATATTTCTCCCTCTGTTGTTATGCAACCAGGCCATCCCAAAGTCTCTGCAAGCACTGTAAACTCCTTAATGCCTCGTGGCAAGCCCCGTGATTGGCTGTCCCAAAGTCTCTGTAAACATTGTAAACTCCTTAACGCCCTGCGATTGGCTGCCCTGAAGTTGCTGTAAACTCCTTAACGCCCGTGACTGGCCGTCGCGAAGTCACTGTAAACACTGTAAACTCTTTAACACACCGCAACTCGCCCTCCCAAAGTTGCTGTAAACACTGTAGAGTTCTCATTGCCCTGTGATAGGTTCTCCCGAAGTTGCTGTAAACACTGTAAACTCATTATTGCCCCACGATTGGCTGCGCTTGCTTTCATGTGCCCATGTGCACACATACTGAGCAGAAAATGACCTAATTTTTTGCAGACTTATATAACTCCAGGGAACGTTACAGAATTTTGGGCAGTGGTCCAGAATGTTCTTGGAAAAGGAAATTGGCTTCGTGCCAAGGCCCTTAAAGGGACCTTTCTGACAGGCGCCTTTAATGCTGTTGAGTTGGTCTTTTTCTCCTTGACTGAATCAGCGTCCCCCCCCCCCCTCGCTTCTTTCAATTTATCTTATTCTTTTGCAAAACTGCAAAAGTATGTTGAAGACGGGCTTGTTTATTCAGCTTCATGGTGCTCAGAGCCACACAGGCGACGTCCCCTTGGCTCTGATGGGTCATTGATGATCTGGGGATGCCTTGTTTACAAAGTCCTCTGGCACTTTGAATGATTCTAAATATAGCTGATCTCAAAGTAAATACCATGCAGTTAAATGCTTCCCACTCTCTCCCAGTACAGTGAAATATTTTAATAGGCCGATTTAGGAAAAACGTCCTGCTTCTGGGAGCAGCTGGGAGGTGCTCCTGTGATTCCTAAGGCTGCAAATCAGCGTGCGTCTCCCTGAAACACCTCTGCGGATTGCAGAAAGTGCTTTGGCGTTTCTTAGTGCTGAGCTATGTAAGGGGCGTGTGCACAGACGCCGTGCAGCCAACACTCGTAGGCTGTGGTCGGTTAGGTTAAGGTAACATTTTAAAGGATGTTAAGACTGCCAATAGAGGCTCAGAAGCATCACATTTCTGATTAAATGGAAATGGACCAGTGGCCTGTACTGCGAAGCGGGGTTACTGGCTAATCGGGGTAACTTGTTGGATTTAAGGTACCACAGTTTAAATGGACTTCATATTCATTCACTTACATTTTGCCCGGACTACCTTTAATCCGACAAGTTACCCCGATAAGCCAGTAACCCCGCTTCGTAGTACAGGCCACAGGTATGGTTCAGTTAAGTTGAACTCAAAGCCTGGTCCATCCATCCACCCATCCATCTGTTCTCTTTAACTGTACTGGGTCTCAGTGACCCTGTCTATGGAGGAACAGGCTGGACGGGATACCAGTCCATCGCTGGACAGGCACACTAAGGGAGATTTTGAGATGCTTGTTTTTGAACAGCGGGGGGGAATCTAGTGCTAACTCCAGACAGGGGGGAGGGGATGGGAGGTGTGTACTCACAGCCCTGGAGGAGCGAGGCTGCTTTTTGTGTGTCTGTCAGAAGATGATGCTGTGTAAGTCTCTGAGGAGGCTTTGGGCGATGAGCACGACGCCCTGTAGGCATGGCCGTCGTGCGTACGCATGCCCTGCTAACCCCCGCCGGGCTTGCCTCTGTGCTGCGATAGCCATTATGGCCAGCCCTCCCTGGAAAGACGGCCTCTTTCTCAGAGCTGTAAATTTCTTTCTGGAGTTTTATAGCGGATCACTGGGAATCTCTGGCAATGCAAGATTCCTGGAATCTCTTGCACTGTTCTTCGATTTCCTGGAAACTGGAAATTGAAAATGTGTTTTTATTATTTTATTTATATATATATATATAATTTTCTTTTTGGACTTTGGCTCGAGCTGTTTTTGATTTTGAGGGCGTTTTAGCGCAGGGATCTGACATGCCCACCATCGCGTTTGAATAGACGCTGCTGGCCAAGAATCTCAGCTTACAAAATAAGCTTAAAGAGATTAATACTGCACAGAGACTATTTCTGCCCAGATATAATGAAATGAATGCATGTAGATTTATCACGTTTTATGAGGCCTGACGTCTTGGTTCCCCCCCTTCCCCCCCCGCGCTCTCTCTCACTCTCCGCAACTCTGATGCATGCTGAACCGCTCGCTGTCGTTTTAACCCAGTGAAGCTCGTAAACTCGACTTGGACGGGCTGGAGCAGCGGCGTGCAGAGCATGGCCCAGATACGCCTTTCATATTTGTGTTGGCAGAGAGGTCGACGCGAACAGATGGCTGTACAAAGAACTCTCGGGGAGGGGGGGATGGCCGGGTCGCAGACCAGCTCGGCGACGGTGCCGACCTGCACGTCCACAACGCCCATGGTTGCCGGTCAAAGGTCACACTGTGATCAGTCAGTTGGGATGATAGAGCAGTGTCATAATTTTCACGATAAGCCGTCATCTTCTGTTGTGACGCTGATTTTGTGTTTTCATACGAATGTGAGCCTCTTTCTCCATTCAATCAACATTATTATATTAGTTTGATTCTAGCTCGTGTGGAACCATGAGTAAAAGTTTCCTTTGTATGACAAGTTAACCTTTGATCCAACGCTTCTCTTGACTTTGAACTCTGGCCACTCCAACGCCATGGAGCCATGGTCAAAAATTACCACATGAAGAGTACAAATCCCATGGTACTGCGGCAGTGTAGTTACCAAGGTGTACCCTAGAAGGATTAGCTAAGGAATTAACAACTGCACCACTGTAGCATCGGTTTGCATTTCAATAGTAACTGTGTCGCTCTGTATTAGCCGATTAGCATATGTAACCATCATACGGGCACGTAGTGCAGTTTGCTGGGATTTAGGTTAAGAATCGGCCTGGGCGAAGCGAACATCCAGCAGAATGCCCATGGAGGCTAATCCTTTTAAGGCCTTTCTCCTCTCTGATCTCCCCCGGAGAAGTTATGCAAGATTGTGCAAAAGCTTACCAGTATGAATTAGAGCCCTTGCCCAGGCTAAAAATGTCATACTCTAGTGCCTGGGACTCGCTGTTGGGCTTGACTGGCATTTGTTGCTGTTTGCGGGTAAATTTTTCACATGCAGAATTAATAGAATCTTTGCTTGTTGCAGAGTGGAGAGTGAAAGGGTGTCTGGATGTAGAGGAAAGCGGGTCCCTCGCTCTCCGTTTGGCCTGTTGACCTACTTCACACGGCCCGGCCAAGAGGATACAGATCTGAGGGGGGGTTGGTCATGAGTGCCGCAGTCACCATCTGGTGTTGGACCACATTCACCCTGAATGGTTTAAGCTTGTTCAAGACACAAGTGGGACCATTGATCAGAGAGTTTTAGAACATTGGCACTGGATGAGGCTGATGAGATTTTGGGTGGTTATTTGACCTTGATACTCCCTCAGGTATTCATTTCCTCTGTTCCTCCACCCCACACACTGGTTATTAATATTTAACTACTGTTTTATGTCTGCACAAAATGTTATTCCTGATTTCTCTCTAGTCAACGCAAATGTTGTTGTGAAGCCACTGTTGAGAATTCGGGTCAGTTGGCTACATGTGAGTTACACTAATTAGGACCCCTGAGAGGCTGGGGAGCTGTTTGTTGTTGGCTCTGCTCATTTTCCCACCTTTATCATTATTGGTGGGAGAAATGGGGCTTCTAACCCATCGTGGCAGGGGTCACATGTGCTGCCAAATACTGTCTGGTTGAACCGAAGGGCACTCAAGAAAGTAACTAATAAGAAGCTGTGTTGTCGATTGGACAGCACATTGTAGATCCCGCCCATAATGTCTCCTATCTCAGTTACTACCTTTGTGCCAGTTTGGATCATGTTCAGTCTGTGGTTTGTGTTTGAAGTCTGTGATCTCTCAGTGTCTTTGCCCTTATCTGAAGTACACAGGAACAACAAGGATGGCTTCATAAAACTGCCCTCTTTATGAAGCGCAATGCTCTGAAAAGTTACCTTGTCTTTGCAGGGTAGTGTGGACCGCGCCTCCTCTCACCGTCCTGCAGATCTTATTGGGCCCAGTTTTCGGCAGCCGTCCAATCGGAACTCCCCAAGCCACCAAGGTTGGTGTCCGATGAACGTCAGGCTCTGCTCATTTTCACTGTATTGTTTTCAGGTTCTTGCCACCATTTAGGCACTATGTTGTTTCCTGCATTGCAGTGTAGCTATGGCAACTTAATTTAGCTGCCGATGAAATCCTTTCCCTGCAGTTCCTGCTGAATCAAGGCTTCTCTGTCTGACGCAAACAGATTTTCATGCCAGCTGAACTGTAATTCCTCAATATTTGTTTTATTGTACAGTAGAACGACATGTCAGGGACTTCTATGATAATAAAAATGTTTCAGCAGAATCTTGAGCCACATCGGGATTGTAACTACCCTTAAATTTGTCTAAATATCGGCTTGTATTTGAGATTACTTTGTGCTGGCAAGGCAACAGAGGAGAAATATATCCATCTCTTGGAAAGTTTGAAGCAGGATGTGATGAAATGCATGTTGGTCCCCAGCCTATAGTTCTCTGCACCTACACCCTTATTGCAATGTTTACTTACACAACTGCTTACACAAAAATGTTCTGAGGGCAGAACGAAAAATTATTGATTTTTGAGTGATAACCAATCAAACTGTAGAAGAGGCGGGTCCAAGCAACTACAGGAGGTGGGACCAACCAATCAGATGTCTTGGTCCCGCCTCCTGTAGTTGCTTGGACTCACCTGAAACATGATGTGACAGCTGCCTTTCTGGGGACACGTAAAGGGTACCGGACGCATCCAAAATATATATAATATTAACTTAATCCCTCTTAAAAATCTACTAGCTTCCCTGAAATGTGCAAAATGCTGTGAATCTGCCCTGGTGAGAAGTAAACTGGATGCATGTGGTGTTCCCAGAAGCAGCTCTCGTTATTCCGACACACTGCCAAAGATCCCTCCATACATCTACTCATGCCTACATCTATACTGTACATCCATCCTCTAACCCAGGGGTGCCCAACTCCAGTCTTGGAGGGCCAGAGCCCTGCACATTTTTGGGTTTCCCCTCATTTAACAAACCTGATTCAACTCCTTGTGCTAATTACCACACAGCTCTTGAGCTGAATCATTTATGGTGGAACAGGGAAAGAACTAAGCCACACAGGGCTCCGGCCCTCCAGGATTGGAGTTGGGCACCCCTGCTCTAACCGCTTATCTGATCAGGGCTGCAGCGGGGTTTGCTCAGCTTTCTGGACAACAGTAAGTTATTCCCTGGAATTCTGTCCAAGAAGAGTTAAATCCCATGTGGAAATGGCATCATACAATTTCATGCTGAGAGTAGAAAGCATGTATGGGATGGTCCTTGATTATCAGTAAAGTAAGTGATGGTGACTGGGTTTGGAAGCCGATGGCTGCGAGGATTGCTGGTACCTTTTATTAAGACCTTCCAGTCATTGAGAGCTGCCCCCTGTCTCATGTCGATCTTCTAGCCTCTTTTCTGGGTCAGCATAATGTTCTTGTGGAGAACACCAGCACCTCAGCACTTTACTTTGCCTTTAGAAGCATCCTCTTCATCCCATTGCCATCATCTTCATTCCGTTGCCATGGCCTCCCTTCTTCTTTCCATCAGTGTTATAATTTAGGTAGCAGGAAACCTGAACTTTCAGGACCTGCTCGCCGCCGCCCCCTGCTGTCTCTAAAACTTTATGTTCTATAATGAGATTGGTCACAGTCATGGTCATGCTGGTTAAAGAGTGTCCCAGCTTCCTGCATATAAGAAGAGGACCTGCTGTGCGTGTCTTTGTGTGTGGGTGTCTGTTTGTGTGTGCTTGGAGGGGGGGGTTCTATCACCCAGGGTTTGACATTAAGCTTGCCCACTCGCCTGAGGTGAGTAATTTAGATTAAGGGTGAGTACAAAAAGCTGAACCCTAGCCCTCTGGCTAGTAAAAATTGCATGTCAGACTACGTTCATTTACTCAACTGCCCTGGTTGGTTCCATCCCTGCCTGCCTCACCCCCGTTGCCTTGTTGCACCCCCAGCATCTCGGCTGAGAGGATGCATGTTCTAGAAACATTTCCTTTGCCTCAGGACTACAGTCTGGCATCTTTGGGTCGGCTTATGTTGGGTTGTGCCCAGAGTTCAAAATTCCGTCATCACCGCACAACTTTCTTTCAGGTAATAAGTTTTCTGATTCTGATTTGTGATGCCCACAGTAACTGTACAAGTCCATGTTAGTGTTACACAGAGTGCGGCCAAATGCCAGATCTTCATAGCTTCATAGGGTTTTCACACTTTTTGTATATGGTTTTTAGTATCAGAAAGCATTGAAAGTGTTCATTCAGTCTGTTTAGCCTAATCTTAAAGGCGTAGGATAAGGGTTTGGCCTAGGGGCCGGGGGTGGGGTTGGGGGGCATTCAGAGGTGAAATAGAATAAAACATGCTCGTTGGTTCAGAATTCTAGCAAACTGTATTGTCACTCTTGTAAAGCATAAACTCCAAACAGCATTTTTGCAGCCTGACCCTCCTAGGCCATCTTTGGTTGTAGGTGTTTCATTTTTATTTCCAGAATAAGTAATACAGTATGTAAGCCTTCATGTGGGTAACGGTACAATGTATCTCAGTTATGGCTGTTACTCCTGCAGAAACATGGATGCAGCGGGTGGATTCCCAGAGCGTGTCAGATTCTGCTGTTTCACATGGAATGCGCCAGAATGCTCCGGAATGTGCCGGAATCCGTCGGAATGCGCGGTGTAGCAGGCCTCCCGGCTCGGCCCACATGCGGCGGGGGTCTCGTCTCCAGTATGCCAGGAATGCTTTGTGTGGCCACACGCCGTTCTGAGTTAAGCGGACGAAACAGTCTGAATTTCAAAGCATACAGTAATTCCATTGATCTTGATTATTTAAGGTCTTTCCCAGGGAACGCCGTGTTTGACAGTAATCCACCAAGGCTTTGCATGGTCACCTACTCCTTCCTGGCACTGTATAGTTCTTTTTTTAGTTTGTAAATACCCTCACATAAACTTTTTTTCCCCTCACCTTCGGCTGCCGACTGAAGTCTTCACAAAATGCTTGTCAAGTCCCACCGAGGCCAGGGAGGGCAGTGAGGAACGTCACGTGGCAGCTCCACCTGTAAACGCTGCTGCGCCAGTGTGTTCTCATGCCCACGTGGCATCTGGGCGAACGGGCAATCTGGTTTACTCATTATATGCCTGTTAGATGACACTGCATTTATGCAATTAATATTTTGCCAGCTGTCACATTACTGTTCATTGATAGTTACTGCCTGTCAGGGTACAAAATACAAGATTGCGTAATATAGTTCAGGATGTCTGTTAATAGTATGGAATAAGAAGATTAATTTTTAATTTACGCAGTGATTAAATATTAACTCATCCTGCTCCACCATCGCGGCCTTTAACGATGCTGGAGCCCATGGCACAGTGACCTTGGATTTATCTGTGCCAGTCTTCAGTTGTTCATTAATGGAGTCTGAACTCAGTCTGACCACTGAGTTGCTGTGCACATAAACTGGTTGGTTCTCGTCCCATCCCCAGGGTTGTCATGCAGTATCTCCAGCTGCCTGGTTTAGCTCGAGGGGAACCTGTAAAGTAGCCAATGGGAAGTGGCAGAAGTTGGTGATTGACAGTTCAGACTGAACCCGCCCTCTCACGGAACTCACTCACCTTGCTACGTCATGCCGTTTGGTCACCAGCAGTGATATTTCATAGTTGAACTCGTGAAGGACTGATTCCCTTGCTACGCCTGCATATGTGTCGGGAACTATGCACTGGTTACTCTACATCAGGGGTCACCAACGGTATATCCTCAAGAACCAAATACATCAGCAATACAAAATACTTAGTCCAGATTCAATTGTTTTGGTTCAGATGCAGATCAGAGTCCACCAGGTTGACCACTTAATATAATGTTCAAGGAATAATGTTAATTATTCAAGAGCCTGTGAATTTATTCCGACAGTGTACCTGTAGCTGACCCATTAATGAATTTTGGTTTCATAAATTATTATTCTTTAATAACAATTAAGTTTGATTTAAAACCTGGAAGTGGGCTTGGTCAGTCCCCAACTTCAGGCATCCAACAGGTGAATTTTTTTGTGCTGGAAACCAGGTGCTCCCAGAATGGGCTTTTGATGACATCTAGTGGTAAATCATTGTAAAGATGGTATCTCTACTGAATTTGAGGTTTGGACTGCTGTTCACATTCAGTGTTTCTTTATTTTTCCCATCGGAAATCTTGCTTATCGAGATGCGCAAACCTTAAAATGATTATCGCACAAAAATACTGAATGGTTCCAAGTGCATGTAAACTTAATTTATTGATTAATCTTTTATTATTGTTACATGTTAGCGAATGTTCCCCACACGCTGTCCAGTTGGCCTGAGGTGGCAGCCGGCTTTCCTGGTAAAGCTGAGTACAAGTACTTCTCAGAAATATTATTTGCCACGCTGGTGTTGATGATTGATAATTTGGTGCAGGAATGTCCATGTTCTTCAGTTTCACAGATTCTCCTTTTTGGGCAGAAGTTGCTTTTGCATAAACTCCAGTCACATGCTGCTTTTCCTCTATGAACACCCCTTAATGCGGGGGGTAGGGGGGAGGGCTGTCCAGATGAGGCTTGGCTGATACCCACAGCTCTTACTTACACACATTCGGACCCACAGCAGGTTCAAATAACAAGAACACATCTCCCACTGGTGCAGGGAAGCTGCTGCCATGTTTGTGTTTCGTGTTCAGCACGGCAGGGCCGTGTTCTTCTCCTGACTTGTGTGAAGAATGACTTTTAAGTGAATGTTGAGTAAGTCTCTGTTCACCGAGATGACCCTCAACCTCAGGCCAACAATAACCAAGCCTTATGAGACTGGAACGTCTGGGAAACCTGGACTCTTATGCAAACCAAAAAGTGAGAATTAGTATCTGTCACGATCAGCAACCCCCTCCCCCAGGGTCCCGCGTAAAGAAACACCATTTTCAGTGCTTCAGCGAGTACGATTTCACCTGATAAGTGCACTTTTCTGCTCCATTGCATATCTATTCTACCTCAAAGGAAAACTGAGGCGTGTTGCGTCCTTTTCACCCACAAATGCCCAGATGCTCGGGGAAACGTCTCGCCTTCGGCTCGTTTACCAGATAATTTTGGATGTGGCCTTTTGTGACCCACCTCTGCTGCTGAGTTGGTGAGGTTTGGCACTTCACAGGGAGGACAGGATTCCACGGCCTTCTTGCAGCAACAAAAAAAAAGAGAAATGCTCCTAACGTCCCATTTTTTCTGGCCTGTATTTGCCCCCAACACAAGCAGGCTTGGGTTTAGTATCGGGGAGAACATCCCAAGCTGTTCCCATGGTAGTGAATGGCGTCAGAACCAATAAACCTATTTCACTTTGCTGTTGTATGTGTATGATTTTTGTTTTTGATGAAGAAAATGCTGTTTGTGTCTTGATGTGAACACACCCTGTGCAGTCTTACTGAGAGGGCAGTGACTGGCTGACCATGAGCCAGAACGTACCCTCATGCCAGCACTACCTGTAGGTTTCCTGTATGCTACCTGAGATCTGCCAGTAGGTCTACTCTTCTACTCTTAAGCTCATTGTAAGTTACACTTGGATTAGTTGGTAGGTTGTCTGTAGTCTACCTGTAGGTAACATGTATTGTACGTGTAGCCAATTTGTAGTCTACCTGTAGGCTCTCTGTAGTTAGGTTGCAGGCTATCTGTAGTTTATTTGTAGGCTACTTGCATAGTACCTGTAACTCTGGGTCCCCATTCTTGTCTCACAGAGGACGATGTGGACTTGGAGGCACTGGTAAACGACATGAACTCGTCCTTCGAGAGTCTGTACTCCACGATCAGCATGCCGTCCGACTCTGTCCCTCTGATCCATAATGGGCAGCTGCAGCGGAGCCCTGGCCCACGGCCCGGCCTGGCCCCCTCCCCCAGGCAGGGAGTCTGCCGCTCCCAGCCCATGCACATCCTGGCTGTCAGGTAAAGCTGCATCCTGTCAGCCCCCACCCCATAACTCTCAATGCCTCCTCTCTGAATGCGGTGCTGCTTTCTTAATGGCGACGACATTCTCTGTCACTTAGGGTGCTTTTCGACTGCACCAGGTGCTGTACTTTTGGTACTTCAAGCTGTTGGTTTTCCACTGGTGTACAAACTGGTACTTGCACCGAATGACATCATAACATAAGGCGAGGTATTTCGAAAAATGGCTGTAGTATATTATAGGGCTAGGAAATGTGCAACATTAATACCAAAATCGCATGTTACGCACACGTAATTGTTACATCACTAGGCAGCTAGATTGAAATCGGGCTTTTTCATACTGTTACTGACATTATAGCACTTGGGGTAACTAAAACATTTTTACTTTGTCATAAGAAACAAATTTTGAAAATTTTGCAGCAAATATTTTGAAAATTTTGCAGCAAATATTTTGAAAATTTTGCAGCAAATTCACACCATGATATTTCAAAAATTTCTAATATCATGCAGCCCTAGTATATTATGTAGCAAATATTATTTATTTCTTGTCATGCCGTCCAGATCTTACTCTGATTCTTCCGAATAGATTGCAATAAAGCATGGCTCTCTTTATTTGTTCACGTATACATTATTACTATTATTATTATTTTTATTTTTTTTTTGCTTCATTTATTGTTTTCTGAGTTAGTTTTTCAAGACGGCGGTTGTATTATGTTTTTTTTTTTTTTTTATAACCAATCGACAACGATCACGTTTGCAAGTTCCACCCCAAAGTATAGAAGTACCAAAATATACCCCAGCTAGTTTGGTACTTTGGATACTGGAACTTTGAGTACTGGTATTCGACCGGAAGTCAATGGAAAAGGGAAAGTACAGATGCAGTGCAGTGGTGCAGTGTGCACTTGCATCCCTGTCAGAAATGCTGTCACTGACAATTGACAAAATGTGTAATGAAATTGGGCATCTCTGTCGCCCCCTGCAGGAGGCTTCAGGAAGAGGAGCTGCGGACATCCTCCCTCCCGGCTATCCCTAACCCATTCCCTGAGCTGTGCAGCCCAGCCAGTTCCCCCATGCTGAACCCCGGGTCCCTGCCACAGTGTCAGCCCTCTGGCACATACGTAAGCTCTGGATCTCTCCCCAAAGGGACCTAGACTAGCCTCTGACTGAGCTGCGGCTTTCACTGGTCGTTTAATGGGTCTTAGGCTCTCATCACGGTCATGGATCACTACAAGTCCATCCTGTTTGCCAGTGTTTCTTGCGTGCTTGTTTGCACATGGTTTTGTGTGTCCTCTCTCCTTCTGTGCCTGATAGTTGGCAGGGACGTTAATGAATCCAAAGCCCACGAGCTGTGTGGTTTAATCACTGCTCTGCTATGTTTTTAAAAATGCGCTGAAGTAAAGCAGGTAAAAGACGGCTGGACTTTGCTCGTCCTGAACATGTCAAGACACTCAACCCCCTCAGTTTTACTTTCTTGCTGTCTTTTTTTTATTCTCCTATTTGCCATCTTGTTCCATCAGGAATTGACACAGTGCTACTTTGGCATATAGCACTAAGTCCAGCAAAGTCCTCAGACAGGCAGGCGGATGGACAGGCAGACAGATAGATGGGCAGGTAGAGCCGGAAGGAAGAGAACCAGGTGAACCGGTGCCATAGGCTAAAGTCGCTGACTGGCAGCGTGGCCTGACTTTGAGGCCCATCCCAGGCTGCTACAGACCAGACAGGATTAGTCTGTGTTTTCTTGCATGTCTGCTTGGGAATCCTCTTGGGATTTTCACTCCTCGTTCCCTGTCCCTGAGCCTCTGGCATGCGGTGACTTCCAAGAGCACCACAGACTCTGCTCCTCATTTTCCCATCCCGCATCTGTCCTTTTCACCTTCTCCGGGGGAATGTTTTCCGTTGTGGTTTCGAGGCCCGGATGAAGGCTGCACTGTCCCCGATCAAAGCTCCTGGCGGAGACGTGGCGCTCCCGGGTGGGCGGCCCCCTCGGCGCGAGCAGAATGCTTCCGTCGTCCTCCAGACATTTTTCTCCTGACAGGGACTGTTTTGTGCTGTCATAGCTAATGAGTAAGACCATGTCTGGTCTTCAGACCCCACCCATATTTTTAGTATTACACCATCTGAATGGAGCAGACTGCTGCTTTTTATTGGAAATGTCACACTTGGTTGCTGTGACTGTAAAGTGAGCCAGTGAAGTGCTTCTGCGGGGTAACCTCGTGCGTGGGGAATTCTTCTTTTACTTTTAAGTGACTTTGACGTTCTGCTGCGTCTTAGCTGTGTGTGGTTGTTCTTCATGAGGTTGTGACCAGTGTGATGCGGCTCCAGGCCCAGTCCGTTTATGGGATGCCAGTGAAGGCGCGTCTCGAAGTTGAGCCATGCGTCTGGGCCATGGTTGCGTGACCGTCCCGCGCTTCGTTTCCCTCCCCCAGGCACGTCTCTTAGTACTCTCTTGTTTATTTCTTTGCCCCCCCCCCCTCTGCCCCCACCAATCCACATGCAAGCAATCTGGCTCAGGATCAGAAATCCCTGCGATCCCATGACAGGCCCATTCCACACTGGACTCCCATCTCCTTTTTGCAAAGTTGTCCCTGAGCTGTCAGCCTTTTGGACATTCCCTCCATAACCTGATGCGGACATTTCAGGTCCAGAAAGTAAAAATCCAAACCAGGATTTTGATTCAACCAAACAGTTCAGTACTCTGTGACTGTGACTCTTTATGCTCAACTGGTTGGTTGAAACAAAATCCTGGTTTGGATTTTTACTTTCTGGACCTGAAATGTCCTCCTCTGTCCATAACCCACCCACGGCTGTCTGTGACTCTCCAGTGTCCTGTCTCTATCTTCCCACCATCCTATCTAATGTACACGGGCATTTTGCTGTTAGCTCCTCTCCATAACTTGCCTCCATCCTGTTCTCCGTTCTTGCCAATACCCTTTATGCATGGGCGTAAATTAGGAACCCCCCCGAAGAATCAAAACCAGCCAATACAACCCCCCCTGGACCCCCTTAAATGGATGAAGACCTCATCCCAAAGTTATGCCCTTGCCTCCATGACTCTGTGTGTCCCGTAAGCCTTGCCGTAAGCCCAAGCTGCCATTTTTACTCTATCGTCATTTCCTTGCCTCATTTGGGTTGGCATGGGTGCTGGTTTTCCAGCAAGAAGTTAGCTGTGCCACTGGCTCTGCAGTCTTGCTGTAGAATGTATGGATAATTAGCCACTAATGAGTGTGATTAAGGCAGAGTAATGGACTGGAATGAGAGCAAGCAGGTGCGTGGCATGGTCTGGTCTACAGCCTGGGCCAGCGTTTCCCGTTCAGAACCTGCATAACATCCCTGATTCTCGCACTTCATTTTTCAAACTTGTGCTTGCGTGGCTCCTGCAGACCTTGTCCTTCAGGATGGAAATGCCCGTATCAGGAATGTAAACGTCCCAGAAGGGCACAGCACCTTGTTTACAGCTGCTGATGTCATTTCAGCTGTTACAGGCCTTGTTACCTATAAACCACAATTCAGGCTCCAGCTGTTGTATTCAGACACCATATTTGCTCACGTCATCACAACACACCCATGGACGCAGGCAGTCAAAGATATAGGTTTGACCTTGAAATGCACAGTAAATAAAGTGCCCCTCTGCATGTTTACTGAAGATCTGACCCTCAGTAATAAACTGCTGTGCAGGGGATGGCTAAACTCCATCAGCCTGCCTTTTCATCTGGTACTAATTGGTCTTAATCAGTGTTTCCCAACCTGGTCCTCAGGTGCACATTTTTTGCTCCCTCCCAGTTCCCTGTCAGACAGTCCCCACTTTGCAGGAGCAAAAACGTGGACCATCTGCGGGTCCCCAAGGACTGGGTTGGGAAACACTGGTCTTAAGCAGTGATCCACTTTCGTAATGAAGGGATTGAAAAGAACAGTGATTAGTGGCAATGTTAGCCTCGATATCGCCGGAGTATAAATACATCCTGACATAACTAATGCTAGCGAGTCGTTGATATGACGGGACATTTCAGGAGGTTCATTCTTGGCTTCTGTTCCCTCCAGCCACTGAACCATCTCACTCCTGCCTTTGCTTCTCAGCTCGAGCATTGTAGGTATTGCATCAGACTTGGGCTTCCCCCTAGAGGGTCGTTTTGGGGGAAACCCCTATCGTGGTGTGTGACTCATACTTCTGAATGATATTCTTCCTACTGTATGTGATCCCAGTGATTCATGCATGAAAAATCTTCTTTGCTTGTTGGTTTTTACTTGTGTGTGGATTAGGTTTATATTGCATTGTGGGGACCAAATGTCTCCCACAATGTAATAAAAAGGTGTTTTATGACGTTGTGGGGACCATTTTTCAAGTCCCCACAACATCATCCCAACCTGTTCCTTGGGGACCGACAGACAGGCCGTGTTTTTGCTCTCTCCCAGCTCCCTGCCAGACAGTCCACGTGGACAGTCTGTGGGTCCCCGAGGACCAGACTGGGAAACACTGCTGTAAATGGCTTCTTCTTCGCTGGTTGGCTCGTGTACCATTTGGCAAAGATCTGCGTACTTTAACAAGCGTAATGATGCGGTGCACAGGCCGACAAGCCCTCAGCTCATTAATCCAGCTCCGTTTCACAGTTTGCTGTGTGGCAGTACAGAACTTGTACATTCTGTTTTGTTATTTTAATTTCAGTGGAGTTAAGTATTTTCTCCCAATATATCTTCTGAGCTTTTCTGCTAGAATGGGTTGAGCTACTGGTTGTCGTGGAAACAACAAATAAGAGTTGCATTGATGAGGATTGGAGAAGTATGGTCTTCAGTTGGCATGAGAACTTTTGGGCTTCAGAGTTTGTCTTGGGCTTTGCAGGGTCTCAATTAGGCTACAGATCTTCGGTATGAGGGAAGGACTCAGGGTTACTGAAAGGGCATGCAGCAGTGAGTATGGAAGGGGGCTTCACTCAAACATGCCCTATCAGCATGAATTTGAAAAAGCTAGGCCAAGTCCTGCAGCTTGGCTGAAAATCACAGGGAGCTTGAGAGCACCCAGGGCCTGGTTGTACCAAAATCAGGGTACGAACTGGTCACCCTTGGACAAACATGTCCCTGGAACATGACACGGTTACGCAACGAATGTGCTGCCCGTCTGAAGCATGGCGGGATGTTTTGACTATGTGGGAAGTACAGTGTGGTAGAAAAGCCCAGATATCATTGCCCATGTTGGCCACGGGGCAAAGAAAAGCTGTTTGGGCAGCGGCCAGAGTTTCTCCACCTTTCTGAGATAATCTTTCTCTGGCAATGCTGCTGTAAATCCTTGAGAATCCAGACAATCTGGGAAAAGGAAGGAACCCAAAAAAGGGTCTTTGCCCTGGCGTTTAACCATGGGAACAGGAAGGGCAGATTCCCATCCAGGTGGAAGGATACGTGTCTGTTGCCATGGAAAGCAGGCCATGGGGGGTGGGGGAATGCTGTGAGTCCACCCATAAGCCGCTGACCTTTGTGTCTGCCCCCCCTCAGAAGATTCAGACGTCACGAAATAGCTGTGATGCCCTTTCTCTGCCTGTATCTCGCTTTACCTCCAGGTTAAAATACTCCCCTTTGGATGTTATGTCTCCAGCCTCGAACCTGATGTTTTATGTATATTTATGAAAAGCACTCTCCAGGTTGCTGCAGACTGTTCCAGAAAATCCAAACAACGAAAGTGTGTATAATCCAAGCACGAAGAGCACTTCTCCATCGCCTGAGCTTTGGGTTCTTTTTCAGTTGGGAAAAGGTTCCTGCAGACAGCAGGTCTGCGGGTGAGGAATGTGTGGCGTGCGCTCGGCTGTGTCAGGGGAGTTGTTTAAATCCTCGTTTACACCATAAAAGCTGCATCAGGCGAACGAACGGCTGCTAAATGAACAGACTGCAAAGCGTGATGTGCTCTGTTGGGGGTTTGATTGATGAGTTCGTTAGTGCGAGAGCTTCACGCCAAGGCGGTAATTGCGACCGTGATGAATGCGCTGGCGGCTGGGCTCCCCCCC